CGACCACTAGACTGAAAAACTCTCCTTCCCTCTTTCTTTATTACCAGGAAATACAGTATTGTTTACATTCTCAGTTTGCACAATGCATAAATGCACATTGACTGTTGACTGCTGCACATGCTGCTCCCATGCAGCATACATTCTCTTATATTCTTTTATTATATTGCTGCATCTGCTGCATAAAGTGCCTTAGATTGTGTGTTATTTATTTATCTATGTTATATTTTATTTGTATTTTGTGGCATTCATGTGGACATAAGAATTTCATTGTACAGGGAAACACGTTTCCTAACTGTGCATATGACAAATAAACACTATATTTACTTAAGTTAGGATTTGAATACAGGCCTTTTACTTGTAACAAAGTATTTTTGCATTGTTGTACTTCTCTGAGTACTTCCTCTACCTCTGATCCCTGGACTTGTACTGGTAGGCTAGAGGACCCATGTTCCCGCTCTTGGACTGCAGTGGACCCAGTTCTTCAGTTCAGCATTGAGGAAGTCCTCAGCAGTCTCTGTGTCCTGTCCTGAGAGCGTTAAGAAGCTGGACAGCGGTGGAGTTTCCTCTTCGCTGGCCAAACAACAATCAGAGCTGTGCAGACAGGAAACAGGAAGTGCCTGAGACAATAGGGCCTAGAGGGGAGTTGGAGCCCAGCTGCATTTTTCAGGAAGAAAGAAGGATGCAGTGGCACATACAGTTTTCTTGGTAAATGGACTGTATTTATATAGCGCTTTTTTCCAAAGCACTTTACAGGGAGATCATACCACCATTCACCCACCGATGACGACAGCTGCCACACAACGGCGCTAATCAAGCCACCGGGAGCAATTCGGGGTTCAGTGTCTTGCTCAGGGACACTTAGGCATGCGGGGAGACAGGGAGTTGAACCACCAACTTGCTGGTCAGCGAGACGACTGCCCTACCTCGTGAGCCACAGCCACCCATACAGTTTTCTTATCACTGCGGGAAAACAAGCTCAGCTGCCGCCTGCAGCATCTCAGCTATAACTGCTCAGAGCATGATTGACCTGCAGACGGCTTCATGGCTCTGCATCTGTTTGGCATCAGTGTTTATGTCTTCACTCATAATAAATATGTGTCTGGCAGAGCAGCAACACACTGCAGCCCTACAGGAACACTGGTGGTGCAGGAAGCACTCAGACACTTTACTCCAAGAAAATTACCAGTACAACAGTGTAGAAATACTCAGTTTCAAGCACAACTCCTGCCTTCAAAACAAAAGGATCAGCACCTGAATGCATTTGAAGTATTCAGAGTACCAGTACTGGGCCTGTGTCCCAGTAACGTCTCTGATACTGGATCATAGTGACTAATTACTGTGTCCATCACTTTAATGCTGCAGCTGGTAAAGGTGGAGCTGATGGTAACTACCTTATATACTTATACGGGGAAGTACTTTACATCCTACTGGGTAGCTGGTGGATTTCCCACTGGGATCAATAGAGTCTCATGGTTCTACTGGGTTTGCAGCCATCAGGTTATAAAACACAAAAAGTACGTGTTGTTTCTGCTAATGACAGATGTTGACACCAGGTCCTCCAGCTTCTGATTTGTCACATAAACATGAAGCCATGCCTGTTGGCACAGAGGTGTCCCTTCACTGTGTGGTGGACATGCTCAGGTCACCTGCAGCGCCACCCTGTGGCCTGATACAGCACTGTGTGAATGTGAATCACGTGACAATGTAACAGGTAAAAAGTGTTTTATTCAGAAACGTCAGGATGTTTAGGATTTTATACTTGTACACTGGAAAAGATTTTAAAGCTGCTTTACATGCTCAAATTCAGACAAATGATTATAATGTCAGTAACGTTAAAGGGAAAAACTGCTGAATGTGGTCCAGGAATTAGACTTCAGATCGTTCAAGCTGATTTCAGTGGCTGACTCTTGAGTTCACACTGTGGCCTGTGTGTGCACACTGTGGTCCTTTTCCAGCACAAACTCAGCCACAATCCTCTTCCTTCACTTTATTTGACTCATTCTGTTTCGCGTTATTTTTGGTAACATCAGTTATTTTAGAAGAATATGGGGGCCAGGATTTTCATTTCAGGGAAAACACAATGCTAGCAGCTGTTTGTGCTGAGCGTCTTGTCAGTAACCAGTAGACTGAAACCTGATGTCAGACAGTTCAGGAAAACATGTCAATGACAGAAAATATCCACTTTATCGATAAAAGTAGAAACTGTTGGACAAAGCAGAGACTAACTGCTGATTTGAAGTCGAACGTGTGGATTCAGTTCTCAACAACGGACACAACACAGTGATGCTGCACAGATGCCCTTCAGAGCAACAAGTCTCTTTCATATTAAGCTGAAACGGTTTCAGACTAAAGCTTTTCCTGCTAAGAGCCGAGGGTGGTGTGTTTAACAAAGGTTTAGTGGAAGAACTGAGGAGGATTCATGTTCAAGTTGTTGGAATACAGTCACATGTCCACTGGAGGGCGCCACACACCAACATACACACCTGCTGACACATGACATGATTTAATTAACTGCATTTAAATATCAAAGGTCATATTTAATAAATATTCTAAGTCTAAAACTAATAAACAGAAGATGTGTCACTTTCCAGCTGTTGCACAGAGTGAAAGTGCTGCTGACCCTAACCCCAGGTCAGAGGGGATACGTTGACCTCTGTCTGCAGCTGTCTGGTTCCAACACAGGCCAATGAAATCCTGAAACTGTTTCTTATTTATTGTTGTCAGGGTAAAAGGTTCGGTAGATGGGACCCTGCTCTCCCCCCGTCTCTGTTCAGTCCTAATACAAGTCAGTTCAGCTCTGCAGTAAAACCCAGGAGGCTGATCTGATCAGACCAGGACCAGACTGACTGACAATGTCTTATTGCTCATGTGAAAGTCACAACCAGCTCCTAAAGAGCCAGAAGAACTGAATCATAGTGTAGAATCAAAAGTATGCCCCATATGTTCTTCTGCTTATTGTGATTAAAAACCATTTGTTCCAAATATCCTTATTAGTGCATGTACAACCCCAAATCAGAAGAAGCTGGGACTGTATGTAAAATCAAAAATCAAACTGAAAACAGTGATGTGTAAATCACCTGTGTTACATGGAAAACAACACAGCAGCACATTGTTTGATGTGACACCTTATCAACTTTATTCTTTGTTCATAATAAACGCTTACTTCAATCCTGATGCTGCAACACGCTCCAACAAAAGTTGGGCCGGCTGCATTTCAGGGCCAGTAATGAGGTAAAACAATGAAATGACGACTCCACTTGATTGCAGGATTGAAGTGAGTGTTTATTATGAACAAAGAATAAAACTGACCAAAGATCACATCAAACAATGTGCTGCTGTGTTGTTTTCAGTGTAACACAGGACACAGGTGATTTACACATCACTGTTTTCGGTTTGAATTTTGATTTGACATACAGTCTCAACTTCTTCTGATCTGGGGTTGGAGTCTGGTGGCCTGGCTCAGTTTCCAGCTAACCTCCATCCAACTGTCACCTGACCAGAACCAGGTGGTGTGAGTCTGGTCCAGGGCTGATCAGTCTGTATCTAGACCTTCCTGTGTGGGATCAACAGAGTTTATCTTTGCAAACAAACAAACAAACAAACAGACAGACAGTGAATGAGAGAGCAGTTATCTGTGTTGTGTCTAAGTGTCTTCGTCGTCGCTGTTGTGCGTCTTGTCCTCGTTCAGACCGCTCTCATCGATGTTCTCCAAGGAGTCGGCTCGCTGCACCGACAGCTCCGACACGCTAATGCACGGCAGCGCGTTCTGCTCCGGGAACATCCACGGCTTCAGGTTTGGGTTGTGCTTCTTCTTCCACTCCGGATACTTCAGAGACGCCTTGTAGATCTTCTTCATGGCCTGGCAGGACAGAGACACAGTGAGACACGATGGGACAGAGACGGGTCCTCCACCTGGATCTGAGAGGACAAGAACCTGAATCTGCTGGTTTTACCTTTGGAGCCACAAACTGTGAGAGTCTGTTCACCACCCACTTTGGTAAAGACCCTGCAGACACAGAGGACAGGACATTACTGTGAGGCTGTGTCTTTATTGTGCATGTCATCACCGACGCCCCAGTGATGCTGACCACATGGCTTTGAGTTTCTTCATATCCTATTCGGTTGTACCATCTAGTTTATCCTTATTACTTTAATTCAGTTTTCATATTCTATTTATTCTGTATTTATTCTACTTTTATTCTATTTTAGTTTCTTAAATATAAGCTCCACTTTGTGACAGTGTAAACTGCAGGCCTGCAGTGGTTGACAGGTAAAGGGGTGTCTGTGCGCGTTGTGTTGTAAAGGTCAGTGTTGTCGCCTGTGTTGGCCTCACCTCTGGGGTCCACCTGGGTCAGGTAGTACAGGGTGCAGCAGTTGGCTCCGTTGTACTGGATCAGGTATCCGGTCAGCAGAGACACAGCTCGGACATAGTCCTTCTTGGGAGGATGTTGCTGAGGAGACAAACACAAAAGAAGAAGACACTTTAAAGGCTTAATTCACTGTTTTAACCCAAATTCAACAACTTCACAGTTTCACTAAGGGATCGATTAGATCTTCCAACACCAGGAACCACCTGTCACCTGCTCAATGTGAACCTCAGGTTGCAGACATACATACATCTTTAGACACAAGTATCCACCTTTGTTGGCATCACTCAATTCCTATTCTGTAAAGTCCAACCTGGATGAACGAGAGCAGTAAATCCACAGCTACACACATACTGTAAATGCTTGGACAGTCTGCTGGATAAGCCCCTCACTCCAAACCAAACTCATACATATGTACAAACATTCCTTGTGACTTTATTGTGACTCATTTGCATTTCAGACGACCAAGTGTGGGATCCAGGGTGTGGGTGCCAATGTTTCTTCCACTGTACCAGATCTCTTAGATGTGTGGAGCAGAAAGCTGTGTCTGTTGGAAGAAGCGTTCAGTCTGGTCCTGGTTCTGGTTCTGGTTCAGTCAGCTCTATGGTGGTCTGAGCTGTATCAGCCTTTCTTTGAGCTCTGTTTTCAGAGACCAGGGGTTATTGGGCCTGACAGTGATTTCATTTGAAAACATTAACATATGGTTACTTGACATACATGTGTGGCAGTGCGAGGGTCCCATAGCTCCCACAGCTCCCACTCTGGAAACCACTGGGTTATATGGTCACAAATGAGTTTTTACCAGGATTTACTGACTCTATTTTTCATAGTATTTCTTTTTCAGTAACTGTGCGGCTTCCCTCTGTGTTTAACTGAACAGTCAGCTGGTAAAACTAGTTAAAAATCCACACTGAATATTTTCATCCCAGCAGGACAGAAACACATTCAAACTTCAAACATGTCTTAAAGACGTAAAGGTCTGGATGACATGTAGCGTCTTACTTCTAAGCTCTGACAAAACTGAAGTTGTAGTATTTGGGCCTGAACACCTTAAAAACATGCTGTCTAACCATATAGTTACTCAGTTTGAGCCTCACCAGACCCGGTAGGTTGAGAAGACATTAGGGAGAGTAGGTTTGGGTTTTGGAAAAGCACATTTTATTTATGATGAAAACCAACACTTTGTTTCTGGCAGGAACATGATTCTAAGAAAGAGGGGTAAGACAGCGGAGTAGGTGGACGTAAATTCACCATTAACATGCAGTAAATGTAAATTCTCACCGGGTGTTTGACGGAGTAATTGATGATCAGGTAGTCATTGCCCAGGGGAAGCCAGGATCTCATTGTCACAAAGTCTCTGTTCTTCAAAGGGCTTGGACATTTCCCTTGAAACAACACACACATACAGTACGTTAAAACCCGCCTGACACTTGGATTGAAACAGTACAGTTGATCAAGGCCATAGATGCTGAGCTCATTTCTGAACTGTTCCCTTCCAACAAACGTTTTTACTGAAGAGGGGAACTGACAGGAGTAATATCCGACATCTGCGTTGACGGTGAGTCTGCCAATGTCGTACGTGTCGATCATGTTGGTGTCCCACTTCCTGCGGTAGCCGGTGTCATGGAGGACGTCGTACAGGGTCGCTGCCGTCACATCTTTACACACTATCCTCATCTGGGACACAAGCAGAGACAGTAGCACTCACTGACTGAGCAGGCTAGTGAATACACAGTCGACTCGTTGTGCTCCTACAGTACACTTAAAATGACATAATACTCACAGCACTGATCAGGCCTTACCTGGCTACAGGTGTGTGTGTTTAACATTTCAATGTGACATATCACTCAGAGACTCCTGCCTCCAGATTCAAAATGAGGTGTGAGGTCAGTGTCAGCCCTCAGTCGGGTTGTCAGAGACAAACAAACCTGTGACACCGCCCGTCCTCACCTGTAACCTGGTGATATGACATCCTGGTGTCAGAAACCTGCCGTGTGCACAGGCGTGTCCTCAAGGTAATTTAGCCGGTTTAACAAAACACACACTCAGTGGTCAGTTCACTGGGAACACCTGTCTCCATCTAATCCAACAGACCTGCAGTGAATCCTCCTTCATGAAGGAGATGTTCAGTGTGTGTTCACACAGGTGTTGATTCACCTGTGTGAACACTGTGGAGGCTGCAGTCTGTGCTGTACTGAGAGGGCTCTGTGTTATTTATCCTCAGTGATGTATGTTATACAGTTTCACAGAGAGATTCTGAGTTATATCTCCTGTTTTGTTTTCATTACTGAGACAACAGACAGAAACGCACCCTAGAGCAGGGGACGTTCCAGACGCTGTCATCTCCTGCCTGTCCACCAGAGGTAACCTGCCCCTGCCCCCTGCTGCTCATTTCAGGCATTTCAACATTTTCAGGGCAATCCTTCAACAGTTCAGCATCCACAACCATTTTTCTCAGGAAATGCATCTTTCTAGTTCCCTCATGACATTCACATGTAACTCCTGTGTGAAAGGAGAATTTATCGGGCATGAGGGTGGATATGGTTTTAGAATGAGTGGATGTCTCCTCCTGCATGGACGGAGAGTTTGTTAAGAAGTGAGTTTGTTCAGGGTGGGGCTGGACTTTATTTACGCTTCTGACACCTGGTCTGAATGTAATGCTGTACAGTCCTCTGACTAAAAGAGCTACAGAGGGGTGACAGATGAGGCACAGAGAGTCCCAGTGAGGTGCTAACCCTAACCCCACATGCCACCAGAACAGCTCCACCTTGACTCTACAAGTCTCTGAACCCTCCTGGAGGGATGAACACCCTTCTTCCACCAGATGTTCCCTAATGTGGGGTTTTGATGACAGTGGTGGAGACGCTGTCTAACACGCCGCTCCAACATCTCCCATAGCTGTTCAACTGGGCTGAGACCTGGTGACTGGGAAGGCAATAAGAATAAGAAGCTTTATTTATTGTCATTGTGACACGTACAACAAAATTATGTTTGGAGCCAAGGGCCGCTGCGTGCATACGCGCTGCCATCACAGGCACCTTGTGGGGTTCAGTGTGTTGCCCAAGGACACTTTGACACATGGATTGCAGACACCGAGAATCAAACCTTCAACCTTTCGGTTGGGAAGGACTGCTCTACCCACCGCACCACTGTCGCCCCCACTAAATAAGGATAAGGATAAGAATAAGTAGTCCTTTATTATTCCCATGTCAGGAAAATTCCCATTTCTCATGCTAGGTTTCACATCATGTTCTTTGCCTGCACATCCACCCATGTGTCACTGGTCTGGTCACTGGTCTGGAGACCATTGATCAGCTCAGGACGTCCCAGTAATGGCCACACAACATAAACCTCATTCCATAAAATAAGGAGTGAAGTCTATGACCACCAAAGAGCTCCTGCCTCCTTGCAAGCGCTTTTGCATGTTTGTACTTCTCCTGCTTCAACCACTGGTGCTGCTTGAGCCAGAAGTGTCTGCCTGGCCCAAACCACAGCAGTGGGATGGAGGCGACTTCAGCCTGACCTGTTAGGCTGCTAACGTGAACTAAATGTGGACCTGTAGTGCACCAGTGAGGTCCTGACCTCAGCCTTTTCTTCTTCATACAGATCTGATGTGTTTTCACCCTGTTTTGCCTTCTTTGTTTGTCCGTCTTGTTTTCTATGCACAGCTAAAAAGGAATTGCTTTCAAAGTCTTGTGTCCACATTTTCTTGGCTTCAACTAGCTTTAAAAGAAATTTCTGTTTAAACATTTGCCAGAAAATGCTAAACACATCTTTATGTTCTCCCACACAAACTTGTTTGTTTGCGAGCTCTTGTGAGGAGCCCGGCCGGAGAGCATCCCTCCTCCCTGTCATTGTAGTGGACGTCATGTGAGACGGCTGCCTACTGTAGGACGTCACTTTTTTCCACCGCTGTAATCGCACGTTGGGCTCGACTGAGCTGCAGTCATCAGATATTGTGAGGCTCATCACTGTAAAACTCCCTGTGTAACTCAATCAGCACAGATCTGCTGCAGCTTTAATCATTCATGAAGTCCTGAGCTTTACGTCTTTATCTATCCATCACTCAGCAGCAGTCAGTCTTAGTCCTGCAAGGAAAGTTTCTGTTTATTCTGCCTAAACTCCAGATGAGTCATTAGAAAGAAGCTCCTGTTTGAAGTCTGCTTGGCAGCACCTCAACCTCTGGTCCACATGGCCCCACTTTATCAGTTTTGGAGAGAGACCAGCTTTTCCAGTGAGCACTGGTTTTACTTCCTGAAGTTCTCTGTGCCACAGCAGGCCAGACTGTTTGACAGGACACTTATATCTTCCTGAGGATGCTTCATACCTTAGCTCCAGAGGGGAACCAAGGTTTGATGAACAAGAAGCATGTAGAGGCTTTAGAAGACACTTTTTAGGAGTGTGACTCATATCATTTAGTCCCCCCCCCCCATAACAGATACTGGGACTGTGAAGCTGTCTGAACCTTACAATCTGTTCCCATGTGAGCTTGATCCATGGCCACACTGGCAGTCTCTGGGTGGTTTTAGCACAGAGCTCTGTCCACGGTGAAACATCGAAACAACGTGAAACGGTCCGGTCTCTTCTTCCTCTTAATTCAGTAAAACTACAAAACTGCTCCAGAGGCAATGTTTGATGAGGAAGGAGACAGCCCACCGGCTGACAAAATCATTGGTTTTATGGCTGGGACACGGACAAAGTCAGTGTAAATCAGGTTGATGACGGCAGCTTTTCTTTTCTCCTTTTGTACTGATGCCTTGTCTTCAGCTGTTGTATCAGCCAGTTCATTATGCTGGGTCAGCAATGGGAAGTGCAGCTCACAGCAGACGCACACACACTCCCAAACCTATGAACCTCTGATCAAGCAATGATCTGCAACATACAGAAAACAAAGTGATTCTGGACACAGTCTGTGTTTTCACTATGGACACAGGAAATCTTTAGCTTAGCACAGACACTGGAAGCAGGACAGCCTGTTAGTGTAGCTCCACAAACAGCTCTCCAGTCATCTTACAGACCTGTGACCTACTAAGATCAACCTTGGGTCCAAGCTATGTTCTGATCTGCAGCTGCTTTAATAATCTTAATGTACGCATCAGTGAAGCTTTTATCAAATCCCAGAGTAGCTCCAAAATCCAACAGTGCAACCTTGTGTGTTTGTGGGTCAAAGAAGAAGTTGGACCAGTTTGGATCAGTCTGCATGTACCTGAACTCAAAAAGCTCCCGTAGGTAGAAAATCAATATCTGTGCCCAAATCTCATTTCTGAGTTCCTGAGAGAAATTGGTGGCGTGGTCTTCAGACACACACATGTAGTTAAATCTTTGTGTGTGTGTGTGTGTGTGTGTGTGTGTGTGTGTGTGTGTGTGTGTTTACTAGTGAGGGGCCTGGAGCTGCAGCATTCACACCGGTTGTTTCTTCAAAGCTAATTCTCATCTGCTCCCTGAGCACAAGACTAGATTATGCATCAGTATAAATTCATATTCTGAACCTTCTCAGGCTGGCAGGGTTGCATAAGTCATCACCATCACAGCAGCACTGAATAAAGGTGGGAGATAAAGAGGATTTAATGTGTGGGCTGCTGAACTGCACATGGATTTGACTGAACATTAGATCAGCTTACACAAGCAAGCTAATGTTGGCACCAGGCTGACAGTTCCCCCTGCTCCCAGTGTTTGTGCTGAGCTAGGCTAAACCCATCCTGGACCCGCCTCTGCCCTGCACCCACAGAGCTGAAACTTATATCCATCACCTGATAAGAATGTATGAGAACATGTGTGACACTTGTACAGATGTACAGCGTTAGACCTCAGTTTGCCCAGCGCCTGTCCACAGGTGAACCAGTTAACACTGTATTTCTCTTCCATTCTCTGCTTTGTATATTTGTGTCTCCTGCTCAGGTTCAGTTTGAGATGTCACCAGCTCCAGAGCAAACTTTAATAATTCATGTGTGAGAAGAAGCACCTCGCTGCTTCAGAAAGACTTCCTGAATTATTAAACCTGCAGCTACCATCATCCTCATTGTCAGCTCTTCGGCGACCTGCGGGCAGACACAATCTGCAAATTCCAAGGCTTACTTAACAAGTGGCCACATAAAATCTGCAAAGACCAGGATCTACAGATCTTCACCAGACGGCTGGAAACTTTCATCCAGATTTTATGGCACGTAATTACAGATGTCAAAGTATTTGTGCAACTTTTCATCTTTAATAGATTTTTTGTGTGGTTTTATAACATTAAAAGATTTTATTAGGGTTTCCCATGCCAATAGGACTGACCAGCAGCCCCATGCAAATAGGACTGACCAGCAGCCCCAAAGACGTAGTGTGTTGTTCTTCAAATATTTTATAGATGTAAGGATCAGCGTTTCTCTCTAAATTAAATAATTATGCTTAGGAAAAAGTGGTTGTTGCACCCCATAGATAAGATGTAGGAATGTTTCAACACCTCTGTTAAGATTTAGTTTGTTTTCAACCATAAAGAAAGCGTCAGTGTCTTGCTCAACAGACTGCTGGCACTGAGATTCAAACCTTCAACCTTCTGGGTGGGAAACGACTGCTCTACCCACCGCACCCCTGTCGCCTCCTTATTTCAGTTATAAGTGTTAGTTATAAGTGTTTCATCTCCCACTTGTCCTGTAAAAGTGAATCTAACCAGTAATAATTCCAGCTGTCAGATACATGTTGTGGAGACAAGTCTCCAAACTGGAAATATTCCAGGAAAGTAACAGAAGCTCTGAGCTGGACTGGTTTCTCTCTGCTGTCTCTTCAACTTCATCCTCAGGTTTCCAGCCACTATGTTTTCCTTTCCACTCTAAATTTTTCAGCAAGCTGACGCTGAGCCTTCCCTCTGCAGAAGGCTCTGGTCACAGACGCTGCCACTGAGGAGCCACCAAGCAAAGCATGGATCCAGCACCTTCACACAAACACTCCAGTTTCTGTGTGCATCTGTCAGCTGTCAGACAGCAGAGCCGTAGCTTTTACTGATGTTAGTAAAACAGCTGTTGCCATGGCAACCGAGGGCAGTATACACCAGAGATGATCTCTGAATGAATAAATAAATAAATAAATAGTATTCATGCAGCACTTTCTGTGCTGATTTTACAAAGTGCCTCTGCTAATGACAAATGATTTTCATTTTTGATTAATCTGCTGCTTGTTCTAAAATCATCCTTTAACCCTTCAGTTTGTAAATCACAACTGTCAGGTCAGATGCAGAATTATTATTATATAAGATCAGTTAAACTGATGGTCAAACAGAGCACAGCTAAAAGACAGAACATGTCACCTAATAATCCACTAATAATGCTCTCATGCACTAATCAATAATCGTCTTGTACCCTTTATGGAGTCTAGAGTCTATCCCAGTATGCAACAGGAGAGAGGACACTAGCTCGCCTTGTCCTGACTGAAAAATCAATATGAGACGCCTGAAAATGACCTCAGCGATTAATCAGTGACCAAACTGGTCACCTGTTAACGTTCCGTTCGTGTGATTCAGACACTAATCGCTGTGTGTGAGGAGCCACCGGCTGCAGCTGCTGAGTCCAGTTCTAACATCTGTGTTTACACAGACACGTTGATACACTGAAACAAGTTGAATCACACACACTGGTTTATTTGTAACTAAATATTTACAGTGACTGATGGAGGAGGAAGTGCACCTGCTCAGAGCAACAGGAACATCAGCCGGTGACAGCTGACCACATGCGGTAATGTAAATCAGTTTGTGTGAATATGTCTGGGAATCCACTGTGACCCCAAATCAGAGAAAGTCGGGTCGGCTGCATTTCAGGGCCAGTGGCATCCAGGAAAGGACGAACCCTTTAGGACCAAAGATGGGCCAAGGACCACCAGTTGGCCAACATACAGTGCCTTGCGAAAGTATTCGGCCCCCTTGAACTTTGCGACCTTTTGCCACATTTCAGGCTTCAAACATAAAGATATAAAACTGTAATTTTTTGTGAAGAATCAACAACAAGTGGGACACAATCATGAAGTGGAACGAAATTTATTGGATATTTCAAACGTTTTTAACAAATAAAAAACTGAAAAATTGGGCGTGCAAAATTATTCAGCCCCCTTAAGTTAATACTTTGTAGCGCCACCTTTTGCTGCGATTACAGCTGTAAGTCACTTGGGGTATGTCTCTATCAGTTTTGCACATCAAGAGACTGAAATTTTTGCCCATTCCGCCTTGCAAAACAGCTCGAGCTCAGTGAGGTTGGATAGAGAGCGTTTGTGAACAGCAGTTTTCAGTTCTTTCCACAGATTCTCGATTGGATTCAGGTCTGGACTTTGACTTGGCCATTCTAACACCTGGATATGTTTATTTGTGAACCATTCCATTGTAGATTTGGCTTTATGTTTTGGATCATTGTCTTGTTGGAAGACAAATCTCCGTCCCAGTCTCAGGTCTGTTGCAGACTCCATCAGGTTTCCTTCCAGAATGGTCCTGTATTTGGCTCCATCCATCTTCCCATCAATTTTAACCATCTTCCCTGCCCCTGCTGAAGAAAAGCAGGCCCAAACCAGGATGCTGCCACCACCATGTTTGACAGTGGGGATGGTGTGTTCAAGGTGATGAGCTGTGTTGCTTTTACGCCAAACATAACGTTTTGCATTGTTGCCAAAAAGTTCGATTTTGGTTTCATCTGACCAGAGCACCTTCTTCCACATGTTTGGTGTGTCTCCCAGGTGGCTTGTGGCAAACTTTAAACGACACTTTTTATGGATATCTTTAAGAAATGGCTTTCTTCTTGCCACTCTTCCATAAAGGCCAGATTTGTGCAGTATACGACTGATTGTTGTCCTATGGACAGAGTCTCCCACCTCAGCTGTAGATCTCTGCAGTTCATCCAGAGTGATCATGGGCCTCTTGGCTGCATCTCTGATCAGTCTTCTCCTTGTATGAGCTGAAAGTTTAGAGGGACGGCCAGGTCTTGGTAGATTTGCAGTGGTCTGATACTCCTTCCATTTCAATATTATCACTTGCACAGTGCTCCTTGGGATGTTTAAAGCTTGGGAAATCTTTTTGTATCCAAATCCGGCTTTAAACTTCTCCACAACAGTATCTCGGACCTGCCTGGTGTGTTCCTTGTTCTTCATGATGCTCTCTGCGCTTTAAACAGACCTCTGAGACTATCACAGTGCAGGTGCATTTATACGGAGACTTGATTACACACAGGTGGATTCTATTTATCATCATTAGTCATTTAGGTCAACATTGGATCATTCAGAGATCCTCACACTTGTTGTTGATTCTTCACAACAAATTACAGTTTTATATCTTTATGTTTGAAGCCTGAAATGTGGCAAAAGGTCGCAAAGTTCAAGGGGGCCGAATACTTTCGCAAGGCACTGTATGTGTGAGAGAATCATTGAATTGTTTAAACACAAAGTTCCTCAAAGAAAGATAGGAGGGATCTGGATCTGTCGCCCTCTACGGTGCAGAACATCATTAAAGGATTCAAGGAATCTGGAGGGATTTCGGTGCGTAAAGGGCCGAGCCTGAGCCGGATGACCGAGCTCTCTGATCCCTCAGATGGCGCAGCATCAAGAATCGCCACTCTTCTATCAGCAATATAACCACATGGGCTCAGGATGACTGTGGATCACCTGTGTCCAGCACCTCAATATGTAGTTACATCCATAAATGCTGCTTAAAACTATGTGCCCAGTGTCATTACACAAATAAAACCCAAAATACCTGAAGTTACAAATGTCCATAGTAGGCACTATAAAGCTCCTCACAGTCTGAACTGCAGGAATACTACTTTGTTACTTAATGCAACATGACATACTGTAAGTACACACAAAGAACTATGTTCAGAGCCCAGAGGACCCAGGAGTCCTGCAGTAGGTGGTCTGGGGTCACATGCAGAGACAGAGACACTGAGGCAGCCTGAGTCCACAGGAGAACCGTGGCAGCTAGAACAACACATTCAGACTGGTGTCACCACACCTTATGCCCTCACTCTTGTAGGATGTTAGGTCACATGATGACGTCTCCATGACAGCCAAACAAACCTGCAGAGGAAGACCTCTGGTTGCTGTTGAAAGCTCTGGGAAAAACCAGTAAGTGCGCCTTGAATGATTTGTGAAACCATGTGTGGTCTAATTTGTGGGTGAAATGTGCAGAGCTGCTATCTTTACTGTCAAAATAAAAGCCTGTACTATGTATTAAGACCTGTTGTATCATGTATGACACTGCCAACTAGTAAATGTGGTGATGTCAGTATTTTACCTGTGCAGAACAAGTATAGTGATGTGGTTTGAGTTGCTGCTGAATGTTTTGACATTTACATGAACATTACTATGTTCATCTTTATCAGAGGTTCAGCTCATCTGTCTCCACACTGTAGTGGACTGACTGTGAGCAGTTCCACTGGTGCACCATGAGCACATTTACTGTTTGCTTTACACCACTTTTTACTTCTGCTCCTTGTCACAGGCAGATGTTGTAGCTTAACTACATTCACCTGAACCTTTCATCTCTTCTCTGTCCAGTGAAAATGTCAAACATATGAGAGCTTGTAGAACATGATGCAGATGAAGTTACCCACAGTTTGTAAAGTAGATTAAAGCAGCTCAGTTTTAAACAACTACAGCACTAAAGTTTACCATACACATGAATGCAGCAATAAAACACTGACAGTTCCCCAGAAGATTTTGCATCAGCATCCTTCACATCCTAAACATGACTGTAAAAAGTGTACATGTGACTGCACTGACATTCAGACCTGCAATTTACACAGTGTAAAACCCTCTGTGGCTCACCTTGAGTTTCTGCACAGTTTTGCTCTCCTCCTCTTGGCACCACACCGTCACTCCTCCCTTGTTGTAGTGGCTGATCCATCCGTCAGTGCTCAGACACTGATCCTTGAACGAGGAGAAGTCCGAGTCGTCCGGGATCTGCACCGGCATCTCTGCTCCCGCAACGGGATCAGATCAAAGCACAAAATAGATAAGAACAAAGCAGAAGAGCTGGGGTTGTACTTCACATCAGTGTGTGCTCCACTGGGCAGTCCAAGCAGCTGCAGGTTAAACTGGGCTGAATGGAGATGCTCAACAAAAGTTGCTGAATAAAAAGTCTTTGAACACACCAAAACGAAGGCTAAGACAGTGAGAGCAGCACTGACTGTGTTCAGCAGCTGTGATGTGTCTTCTGTCTGCAGATCTCTGCCTCCTCCTGCCTCTCTGCAGAGATGGGACATAAAGCAGCGAGCTCTCACTCTGCCCTAACCTTCAGGAACCACTGGGATATTAGACCAGCTTTGGCCCCTGAAATCTCCATTGTCACATTTCTTTTATGGCTCAGCAGTCTCAGGGAGCATGAAACCAAACTGCATGTTTATGTTCTGACTGTGGTACAGTGCTCTAAACGCTACAAAGTGACATCTGTGATAAAGCCTTAATATCCAGCAGTCTGTCAATAACAAATACAAGGGGGTATGATGCTGTGAGGTGGTGGAAGGTGCACAAAGCAGAATGTGAAGCCCTGTGATTGGATGTTTGTCACTGAACAGCATCCTGGGAGCTGTATTTGACTTCTCTCCTTCAGTTTTTATGTCCTGCCTCTTGTAGTTTTGACATTTGTTGACATTTTCTTGAGATGTTTGAATTCTGAGAGCAAATGTTTCTCACAATAAAATGCTGTTCTCATCATCTTATGACATTTTCCTCATAAATAAACATCCATCCATCCATCCATCCATTTTCCTCCACTTATCCGGAACCGGGTCGTGGGGGCAGCAGTCTAAGCAAAGATGCCCAGACTTCCCTCTCTCCAGACACTTCCTCCAGCTCCTCCGGGGGGAGGCCGAGGTGTTCCCAGGCCAGCCAAGAGACATAGTCCCTCCAGCGTGTCCTGGGTCTTC